CTGGCAAGTTTAATTATAGTATTTGATGACTGCTTTACAGCATTTAAGCCTCTTTGAACTTCACAATGGATGAGAGTGTTGAAAGGCTGTGAAACATGTTCAGCTAAAAATGAACAAAAAAGGATGATGCTTCCAACACTCTTAGTGGTACCTGGCATTTATTTGAAGTCTGATACTGCACACAGGACTTCCATATCCGTGCCTCCAGATTTCCGGTTGAAAGTACTGGATTTCTATCAGAACAATGGAAAATTCTGTGGCATTTGCCTGATTTCAAGCCCCCACTCCCCTTTTCAGAGACACATTGCCTTTGCTATTTCTTGTATGATCCAGTTCCTTGCATTAATGCAAGAAAGAGAGGTGAAGAGTGAGGTAGGGCAGACAAAAATTGCATCCCAAGCAGACAAACGCCCAGCTGGCTGGAGAGAACAGCACAGAAGAAATGACAGTGGCAACACCTGAGAGCTCAGGACCACTGAGGTCTCTGTAGGGCTTTCACAACCTACCAGAGAAAATTCATCCCTAGTGTTGAGGCCAAAGATCTCCTCCTGAGATGTTCCACAAGAGTGAATGTGAAAGGTAAAAGAAAGCACTCAGAGCAGGACAGTGGCCTAATTAACCCAGCCTCAGCAAACCTTGAACATTTTGGGTTGCAAAACTTGGGGTCAGAATAAAAATTCATTAATATTCTTCTAGCTTTTAATGATTACATCAAAATACTTCCAGCATAATTAATTCTTCTCAAACCAAGAGAGCAGACAAAACCAGTAGCTTGAGAAAAACTTTCACAGCAGTTTGAGCCCAGCTATTTGATTTCTGCAGTCAATTAATTCCAGTGAATTCCTGAAGAAGTCACTAATTGAAAAAATAATGACAGCTAAGATAAAGCTAACAGGCAACAATGTTCAGTCTCAAAAATTGCACAGTCTTTCCAGAAAACAGTCTGGACAGTTGCAACAGCTACTGAAAGTTATTCAGCAAGGCAGGAAGCAGAAGCTTGTCACATGTCAAGACAAAACCAGCCTGTTCCTCACAGCAATGTAACGTTCAAAGCAAACACAACGCCTGCAATCTGCCAACTAAGAATTATTCAGCAAATAATTTCAAAGAGGAGATAGCATTTTCATAAGAAAAAACAACAAAATGTTTCCTACTTCATGAACAGAAATCAGGAAGAAATTAAATCACCAAATTACCTGCTACAGTTTACCAGTGTAAACACAACTGTTCTGATCCTCTTTAGCAAGTACACAACTGGAAATGAGAAGCAGAACATGGAATTGTCTCAGTAGCACAGGCAAAAAGATTTTCTTGCATTTTCTTTTCAAAGGGCAGCCAGAATATCAAGGCTTATGTTTAATCAGATGTACTGTAGGCTCAGGAAGGAGAAATGAGAGGGAATTACAAATTGAAATTGAAATTGAAAAAATTCACCATACTTCTTGGAATTCCCTCTTAAAAAAAAACAAACCAAAACAAAACAAAAAAACCCAAAACAAACAAACAAACAAAAAACCCCAAAAAACAAACAAAACAAAATCAGTGTCCTGATTTCCTGATTTTCCTGAGTCAGAAATGACTGGAAGAACGTGTAATAGAGATAGATAGCACATATGAGCTTTAGGGGTCTGTATTAAATATACCATGGATATCCACTGCTGTTCTGTAATTAACAATTGTTTTATAAACTCGCTCTCATCACCATCTACAAGGAGATGGGGTGTTGCAGTAGCCACCAGGAACACATGACAGCTATTGCAAATTAGAAATGCAGAAACAATTTTCTCAGGCCACGTATTCCAGCTTTGATGGCTTTTTCTTCACCAGCAAGAATTCTGGGCTTGCTTTTCTCAGCTTTCTCCAATGCTACACAGAGGGTGGCAGAACAGGGAAAAAGGGCAGGGCACAGAACACTACAGGAGCTACCTACCATCCAACAGGGAGAAATCCTTTTTACCACAGTGTTGCATACAAAGGAGCTACATTTGACTGCAAGCTCCAAATACAATGTTTTGAGCTAAAAATCCTCTAAAAGAAAAGAGGACTAGAAAATTCATTATGAGACATCCTCAGAGTGAGTAGATTTGGACAGAAAATATGATACAGCAGTGGCAATGAGTTTAAAAGATCATTACAGAACAAGAGTGGATATCTACGGAGCACTGAAGGAATGGTACAGTCCTGTAACCAAAATGGTGCATAGGAAATGAAATGGATTTTGTAACGCAATATTCACAAAATCATGGACAGTGATGAGCAAAACCTACAGTGCATACAGGCACTGAGCAGTTGTGGTGGCTCAGTGAATGAAAATCTGAGTAATTTCTGGATTAATACTCTAACATAGTGCCAGGGGACACTGTGTTGCTGGAGATATCATTATTTCCCTGAGATATTTTGTCATCCATATCCCACGCTACATTCCAGAAGATGACAATTACTCTATTCCAAAGAGGACAAAATCAAAAGGCCAGCTTTCAGCTTGACCCGAGGGGGGTGTAAGAGGGAATAAAATATATCTAGTGTACTTTTGAGCAGAATTCTCAAGCACAGGGGTGGAGGAGTTGAGGGGGCATCTCCCCAGTGCCTGCTCCACCAGCTGAGCAGAGAGGAGAAACATGAGAAAGGGGAAAGGTTCCACACTCCTCTTCTCACATGCCAGATTGCACATAAGGAGTAGAGGACTAATAATCTGTTTATTTTTGAAAGCAGGAAAGGCAGATTGGGTATGCATTGATATATGGTCTGCAGCAGTACAAAAGTTCTTCCACCTTGCCCTGTTCAGCTGTGTGCACATGTATTCCAGTCAGCTCCTGTTTAGAAAGAGACAATAACAAGAAATTAGAGAATACCAATAAAAGGAAAGGAAAAAGCACAAAACCTTCCTCTTGTAAAAATTCATGAAAGTTTTCCTAAGATACAGCATCCAAGACATGATGTTTGACTTACATTTCTTTTAAATAAATACATTCTGCCTACCTAAAATTTATTTCTTGTTTTGATTTGATGAGTTCATCATGCTTGGTTTCCACTTAGTGCAATGAAGATTATTCTGCTAAAACAGAATTTGTATGTGGTAAAATTAATTTCAGAAATATTCTGATGTACATAAGTCTCTCTGGTTTCCAAGAAGAACCCCGTGGCTTTCCCCCATGGCCCAAATCGCCTGCAGAGCACTGGCACCATAATCCCTGCTGGCTCTTCCAGCCCGAAATACTGCAACCGTCCCCAAGAACAGCAGCTCCTCCTGGGAGCTTCACTGTGGAACATTTGGGAAAGATACCTGAGGATGTGGAAGAATGACAGCTGCAGAGTGGGGGAAGGGGTTTTCAGGTGAGGGGGATGGTGATTTATCCCAAAGAATTGACCTGCAGCCCTCATTGACCATTAGTATCTCAGCATCACAAAGTAAGGCAGACAACCATAGCATCTGTAATGCCTTCAGACAGTACTATGCTAAATGATCCCTTTACACATCTTTGCCTAAATATGATCCCAGGACATGTATTGAAGTTACCATTTCCAACTGGACCATCTATTTTCCTATCAAGAAAAATCAGACACAATGTGGAAGAGGAAAGAAGTGCCAGCACTGTGTTAACTATCACAGCATGCAGACAGCTATCACTGCCAGCCAAGAATTGAGCAAAAATGAGGTATTTATTAAAATTGTGTACAGAGATGACATGAGCTGGGCTCAGGCTAATGACTGTGTGTAGACTGGTGATCCCCCCTTTTGGGACCCTGGATGACAACTTGCTTGGCATTGGGTATTTTGGGTAGCATCATATTTTACTCTCCCTAATGACCTTCAGCTTTAAGTTTTTAATTTCCTGTAGGTCTCAGCTGTATGAGAACGTGTCCCAAGGTTTCTTTGCTCAGTAACTTGTGAGCCATGGACTGGGGACTCATGCGTGAGGGGTGGTGGGTGAAGTATCATCTGACCTGGCTGCTGGTTTCCCTGCTTTTTTATGGTTTACAAGGATGGGATACAACTTGCAACTCTAGATATATATATCTATATAGATATAGATATAGATATAGATATATATAGTATATATCTATATGTATATATATGTGTGTGTGTGTATATATATACACACACATATATGTGTGTGTATATATATATATTTTTTTTTTTCTGGTAGAAACGATGTTAATACCAGTCAGTATTCACTTACAGGTGCGCATGTAAACACGTGCAGTCTCCAGGTGTACCATAAGCAAAATTATGTGTCCTCAAACCATATTGTATAATATTTTTATTAATTTTTTATATTTTGTAATTTTCACTCTCTCGTTTAAATCCAACAGATTTTCCAGGGCGGGTGGATGAGATGAAAAATAAAGACGTTCCCGAAGCGGATGGCAGCAGGATGGGTTCCAGAGCAGCACCACTCCCGGCTGGCTCCGTAGCCACCCCCGAGCACCCAATATTGAAAAAAAATAACATCAATAGACGCCTTTAGCCAAGCACCCTCCTCTCCACAGCTCCTGCAGAGCTCTCTGCCCGATCTAGAAACAAAAATAGCGAAGAATTAATTAACGGGACGGGGCTCTCATCCGGGAGGGGGCCCCGGGAGCCCAGCGCTCCGTCACGCCCGGGGGAGCCGCGGCCTCTGCGGCCCTGCCCGCGGGCAGCGGGGGTGCTCGGGCCGCTGGGCAGCGCTGCCCGGGCGGCCGGGGAGCGGCGGCGAATGGAAGAGAGGGAGGGGGCGAACCCTGCCCTCTGCCCTCTGCCCGCCGCCGCCCGCAGCATGGGGAAGGCGGAAGCGGCGGAGCCGGCCCGTCAGGCCGGGCGGCGGCGGGGGGGCAGCGCGGCGAGAGGCTGAGGCGGCCGCGGCGGGGACGGGCGGACTGACGGAGGCAGGGAGGGCAGCCCGGCACCGAACCGCCGCCGGCACCGAGCCGGGACGAGCAGGGGGAGGCCGCCGCCAGCCT